CCTTTGCATCCATCCTCAAGGCAAACCTTGCTTTCTGAGAGACACTCTGAGGCTCTCAGGTGAGTGACTTGCCCAGCATCTCAGGTCCAGGAGCAGCTAGCTGAGCTGACCCTGGGACCTAAGATGCTGGTGTCAGATGATGGTCCTCTACAGCCTCTTGCCTACACCCAAGATGGCACTGCTTTCATTTACCAGCCTCCCCCGCCCCTTTACTTACAGGAAGTCTCCCTGTCTGAATCTCAAGTTTAGTGGCATCGTTGACATCTAGCCAAGAACAATAAAATCTTGTGTTCCTGTCACGGTAAAGGCCTACCTACCCTCACAGCAGTCTTTCAGATCTTTCCATCTGTTTCAGAGGCTGGTGCAGACGAGTTCATCAATACAAGGGAACGATTTAAGATGCAGGTTTTAACACTTAACCATTTCTGCACTTAAAGCACTCCTCTACTCGCAGATGAGAGTTAAAGGATAATGAAGGACAAGGTAAATAAATGCTCTTCCTCTGATCATTAGCTTCTACACGGCCAGCTTGGTTGTGGGAAAAGTCTACCCTGCACCTGGGACTTTACCAAGTGAGAAACTTGTCTTCGTTCAGCCTGGTGCGTGTGCCCGTGTAGAGGGGAACTGTGTGGTATTATGGCCCTGTTGACACCTTTTGCTTCACGCCCTCTCCTGGTTGTCCTCCTCACCCTTTTCTCCAGGTCCCTCTCTCACCTTTCTCATGTTCTCCTCCTCTTTCTCTGCCAGGCCCATCGATATCCTGGTTTCACCCATGCTGGCCGTTGTCTTTTTCCTCCCTGCAACTGAAGTGAGATCACGGATTCCCTGCTTTGCACATCTCTGCCTCTGACAGCTGCTCGCAAATCGGTATCTCCTGCTGAGACCCCTGTCCTGAGCTCTACACCAATATTTTCTAACTGCCTTGTGACTAGGTCCTTCTGGATGGATAGAAGCCACTTCAACCTCAGCTTATTTCCAAAACTGCCACATCTTGCTTCCTTCCCAAAGCTATGTTTCATATTTCTCATCTTAATGAAAGACACCTTCAGCTCCCCCCCAACCCCCCCCCCAGAGGTTCCTTCCTCCCGTCCTTTGTCCAAATCTCATGAGTCAACAAATGCTATCAAATCTACTTTCTGACTTTCAATTCTGCCACCCTCCCTCCATCCGTCCGTGGTCCCTGCCTGAACTGATGCCCTCACCAGCTCTGATTATTCAGGATAGATTTCCCGCCTCCTTCCCAACTCCCTTCAGAAATGATGAAGTCCACCTTCTTCTTTCTCTTCTTTAATTATCTTTACTGTTGAAAATATTACAGATGTCCCCCTTTTCCCCCCATTGATCCCTTCCACCCCCAGGCCTTCCCCATACCAATGTCTGCGTCCATGGGTTATGCTTATAAACATGTAAATTCTTTGATTAATGTCTCCCCACCCACACCCACCTTCCCTCTGAGATCCCTCACTCTGTTCCATGCTTCTATGTCTCTGCAAGTCCACCTTCTTTTGCATGGCAGTTCAGAGCACTGGCGGTTAATAACTAGTAGGGACTCTGCAGTTAGACGAGCTCGGATTTGAATCCTGCTCATGCTGACAGAATTTTCTGGGGATGTGGTAGAGGATCGGGGTATGATCGGGGGCTGAGAGTGAAGTACATAGGGAAAGGCAGGAAGAGGAGGAAGGACGGCAGAGAAGAGAGAGGGGATGGGAAACAGACCTCTAGGGTCCTCATTGCTATACAGGTAAGCTGGGGGTAGGAGGTTAAAGCCTGCGGCCCCTTACGGGTAGAGCCAGGGCTCCTGACCCCCTCACCCCTAGCAGGAAAAGTCTCCAGAGAAAAAAGACTGGGATCTCCATGTCCTCAGGTGTAAAGCAGGATCCTAATTGCACTCACTCCAAGATCACTGTGAGGATGAAAAGAGAGAGTACAGCCCTCGCACAAAGGGCTTAGAACAGAGCCTTATATGTGGTCGCAAATCTATTAACGGCAACAGCAATCATGATGTAAATACTAGTGACATTAGTATCGATTGATGTAAGTCCCAATTACAATCACTCACGCCACTTGAAGAAGAAGAAGAAGAAGAAGAAGAAGAAGAAGAAGAAGAAGAAGAAGAAGAAAAACACACCCACAAAGAAAATTGGTGAATAATTTTAAACACACGACCAGCTTCCAGGCTGCATGGCCTGGGCAGTAAAAATACCCAGGTTCCTAGGTGGCTTATGGCTCATCTTTCGCTCACCTCCTCTCGTTCAATTTCACAATAACCCTGGCAGGGAGGGAGGGCTTTTTTTTGGTATTCCTGTTGAATGGTTGAAGAAACTAAACCTTCAGTGGAGGAAGAGACACCTGGGAATGTGTGGTTCACACAGCCAGAAGATGGCATGGGGGGGGGGGGACCACTTGAGCCTGGGTCTCGTGTTTTGCTTTCCATTCTGTATTAGATTGCTACATAACACTTACATCTAGAGGTACAGTACCACTATATACGTTCAGTAGCTCTGATTTCTGACTCTAAACTACGGTAAGATATAATTTTATGTTACTACCTACTGCACGTTCATACACACACGTGTAAAAATTGAAACAAGGTGTAGAAAAGGATTTCTTTTTTTTCACTTGGGATATTCTCAACCCAATTCTGCTCCATTAATTAAAGATACTGGCTCCCAATTTCCAAATTGAATTCACCACCTTGTTCATGGGTCACGACCAGCAACTGAAAACCACCGCCATGGAGAAAACGACGAAAACACAGGATACCGAGGATACTTTTCACACACTGGCCTGAGAGCCTGCCAAATTTGTTTTAAAATTGCGCTTAATGAGTTCACCCGTGATCTTATAACCTGTATTTCTTCTCCTTGATTTTCGAATGGGGCTGTTGGATTGGATTTTGCGAGTGCTCTCGCACCAGTGCAGTGGCACAAAACACCGTCCAACCTGAACAGGGCCCCTAAGCCACCTGGCCTACTCTCTCATTGCAGAAGTGCGAAGGGAAGCCCAAAAGAATTAACTGATGAACAAGTGGCAGAACTGGCATCTCAGGACCGCAAATCTGGGGCCGCCTTGAGACTAACAGTGACCTTGCCCCGTCTTGCTGGTTTAAACTTCACACGGCCCAGTAACACGACCACAAATGTGGCTAACGCCCCAAATCAAACCGTCCGTGTTTAAAGATGGGGCACACTATCCTCTCAGACAGCTAGGAGAAAAAGTCCTCTGCCAGCATCCTTGCATCAACAGGAGCCCCCGATGAGGTATCCCAGCACCGTAACCGGGCAAAGGTAGCGAAAACTGCGCTCCAGAGGCAGGAGGGATGCTAGGCTGGCTTACAGAAAGAGGGGGAGAAAGTTCCCGCCTCACCCCTTCCCCCATCCCAGTCCCCTGAGTAGCCCGTCTCTACGCAAGTACGGATTTGAATAATGCGAAGTTCGATTGGTCCAAACACCACCGCCCTGATTGGCTGAGTTCTCACACCGACTGTCCTGGAGCCCCACTGATTGGCCAATAACTATGCAAATAGGGATACAGTCACACACCTCTGACTGGACAGGGAAGGCCTCAGCCCCGTTCAAAATAAGCTTTGGCAAAAAGCTTCGTGGTGCCTAGGGCTGTTAAGCGCTTGTGGCTATCACTACCCGCCCCCAAAACTGCAAAGCGCAAAGCAATCCCGCGCGCGCGCGCGCGCACACGTGTGCCCAGCTCCCCCGAGGATTATGTGGGTGGCCCTAAAAAGGGCCTTTGGGATAGCCGCACGTGTAAGGCCTGCAGCGGCGGCCTAACCGCCGAANGGCCTTTGGGATAGCCGCACGTATAAGGCCTGCAGCGGCGGCCTAACCGCCGAAGCCATACAGGGTACGTCCCTGTCGCTTTAGGGCGTACACCACGTCCATGGCCGTGACCGTCTTGCGCTTTGCGTGTTCAGTGTAGGTGACGGCATCCCGGATGACGTTCTCCAGGAACACCTTCAGTACCCCCCGAGTCTCCTCGTAAATGAGCCCCGAGATGCGCTTGACTCCACCACGCCGAGCAAGACGTCGGATGGCGGGCTTGGTGATGCCTTGGATGTTGTCTCTCAGGACCTTGCGGTGGCGCTTGGCGCCGCCTTTACCCAGCCCTTTGCCGCCCTTGCCTCTCCCAGACATAGTGACCGCGCTCTGAGCACACAAGCCTCAGTGCCGGGGAGGCCCGCTCTGCCCCTGATATACAAGAACATCGGACCGGATTGAAAACCTCAAGCGCGCCGGCGGGAAGCCCTCGAAATTTGCCCCCGCCCCTCCGCAGTTTCTCATCTCGTTTCCCGCGGGCCCTGTCCCTTCTGCTCCACTCTCCACGCCGCCCCCTAGCGGACCCTGCCTGCCACAATCCCCGGAGAATTCAGATCCCAAAGCCGGCCTTCCGGACTCCGCAGCTGTTTTCGTCTCCTCGCCATTTCTGCGCTCCCCCCAGGCATTAAACATACTCTTAATCACCTGGACTCGCACTGTGAAAATTTTCCTGCAGGAATTCAAGAACCCACACAGTATTGGTCGGCCTTAGGCATACCCACTCCGGGCCAGGTCCCTTTTCTGGTACCAAGATGACTACGTTTTCCTGCTCTAATCCTGAAAACTCTCCCTGCTAAGCTAGTTTATGCTTCATATTTACCTTTATTGTCTACCTTTATCTCTAAATTCTAGCTAGATTCTCCCTCCATTCCTCAGTGATTGTAGAGCTTATACCAACTAGATTGGGTGAAATGGACAAAAAGTACATCAACTTTGGTTGATATGTCACTTCATGGCTTCAATCTTTCACATAGATCTTTGATTCTTAAAACAGTCCTGTGACGTAAGGAGGAATTATTAGTAACACTAAAGCTGAAAATATTGAATTTTGGCAAAGCTAGAATTTGCCATGGTTCGTATAGCCTAGAGTATCTATCATCTTTAACTGCCTATCATCTTCAGATTGTTTTGGAGGAAATTATACATGCTTATTTGAAGAAACTTGAACAATTTAGAAATGTTCAATGAATTTAACAAAAACCAACACCTATACATCCTTCTTAAATTTTTATGAATGTTTTTCCTGATAATTCTCCATACATTCATGCATGCTTTATATACTATCAGCATTCTGCATGTATGATAATTCAGTTTTCTTTTGGCTCAAGTACAGAAATAACATGTATATTAAGAGCTAGAATATAAAGAACAGAGTGAAAAGTTTCAAAGGAAAAAAATAAGCATATAGTGAAGGATGACTCAGGGGCATCTAGCCTGGGTCCCTAGGAGGATAGTGCTGCTAATTCAGACAAGCAGGGGGCCTGGAAAGGAAAGGCAAGACTTTAAACTGGTCCATTGTAAAGTTTGATTAGTCAGTGAGACACTTAAGTGCCTCTATGACCCTGGTAATGGAAATAGACACACAGAGTAAATTCTATAATCATTTACATATATCCTAGTGGAAGTTCTGAATTCACCCAGGGAGGGAAGAGATGGCAACCTGGGCTGGCTTTTAGAGAGCATCTGAACCATTCAGGGGTGGAAATGAGAAAAAAGTTATTCTGTTAGTACTCAAAGAGATAAAGTAGCATTATACTCCTTACTCTTACAGATGATTGTTTTTTAAAAATGAGCTAGCCCTGACCTGCGTGGCTCAGCTGGTTGGAGTGTCCTCCCATAAACCAAAAGGTTGTGGGTTCCATTCTCAGTCGCGGCACATTGCCAGGTTTTGGGTTCAATCCCAGGTCTGGGTGCATGTGGGAGGAAACCTATTGATGTTTCTCTCACATACCAGTGTTTCTCTCTCTCTCTCTCATCAATTATTTATAAAGTTGGGGGTTTTTTAAAGCCATTTATTAAAGCAAAAAGATTCTTAATGAGTGTTCTGTAATTTGGCAATATTCAGAGGCTGGACACAGCTAACAGAAAATTAAGGTAAGCCATATCATAATAGTATTTAGTGGAGTAGACAGGATGGGAACAGGGTCACTATTAATATCACTATAAAGATGTATAATTATTGCTTTAAGGACAAGATCTTGGAGAAATTTAGGAAGAAAAAAGAAATATAACTATTGATAATAAAATTCAATACTATTGAAAAACAGACCAGTAATATTCAGTAAAACAAGCTGACTACAGTTTTTATTCAGGCCTCTTTGTTTGCCCTAAATGCTTTTGTCATTGGAGGGACTAGCTAATTACAACAGTATCACATTGAGAAAATAAGCTTTACCTTTTTCCTCCTGTAATATTTTGTACAATTTAATAGTATCATTCACCCAATTTTTTTCCACTAAAGAAAACAAAATTCAACATTATGGTAAACAAATATAGAGCAATATATATTCAGATTCTAAATACTTTTGTTTCCTTTAAACAAAGTTACTTAGATCCGTGGTTCTCAAACCTTAATGTGTATCAGAATCACCTGGAAGGTTTGTTAAAACAAATTGCTAGGTCTCAGCCCCGAGAGTTTCTCCTTCAATGGGTCTGGGTTGGGTCCAAGATTTTGCATTTCTAACAAGTTCCCAGGTGATCTGATGCTCCTAGATTAGAGTTTACAGTTAGGACAACTAGTTTATCCAGTGGGCAGGTCTTTCTCCCCCTTCCTCCTATTATTCTTTGATTTCTCTTCAAATCTTTAATATGTCCTCCAGAGCATCTCCGTGAAGATCAGATATATTCAATCTATATTGCCTTTAAAGTTTTAAAAAACCGATAGTGATATTTGCAATAGAAATGCTATCGCTTGCTACTAAGCTTTTAATTTAAAAGGAAAATGAAACATCTTGAACACCGAATCCTCTGATCTATTTCTCACCTGGACATCTTCACAAACGTTACTCTTGCCATTCTCCCTGGCCCTCTTCCCCCTCCCCTATCCTGGGCATCTCAGCAGGATGCCAGGCATTCTGCTCTATATTCAAAGCCTGACACAAGCCCCACACCCACAGCCATTCCTCCCCAATTTCCCAGCAGCCAGTGACTTCTGTCGTGTATAGGATTCCTACAGAAATTCTCTACATTTCTTTTTTAATTTCATTTTTTATTGTCTTTGCCGGCTCGATCCCCAGTCGGGGGCGTGCAGGAGGCAGCCCATCAATGATGACTCTCTCATCATTGCTGTTTCAACTCTCCCTCTCCCTTCCTCTCTCTGAAATCAATTTAAAAAAAAAAAAAAGGCTTGCTTTCAAGAAACTTATTAGTTTACTTTGCTTTTATAGGATATTGTCTCTGCATCTGTATCTTTGCAGTATTGTTACTGAAAGGTAGTATCATAGGTCCTTGACTAAATTTCCTTGAATGCGGTATCAAAGAACCAAAATCTAAAAAATATAAAGAACAGACCCCCATGAGGGGCCTTTTTATTGAAAAACAGAAACACAGGAAACCAAGAGTACTTTCCACACGCTGTTCAGACAAGTGTCAAATATTTTACAACTGCACTAATGAACTCATCTCTGATTTAGTAAGAGGATGAGGGAAAAGGTTTACAGTTTTAAGTACACGAATTTATGCTGGTATTTTATTAGGTGTTGTATTAATTTCTATACAAACTATAAACCTACTTTTGCCCCATCCTGTATTTGAATGGTTGATGATTGGATTTGATTTTGCAAGAACTCTTGTACCTTCTCCGTGAACAGTGTAGTGTCACAAAATACCACCCTATGTTCAGGTGCCTAAGGTCACCAGGCCCACTCCCTCATTGCAGAGGTGAGAAGTGAAGCCCAGTTTCAAGAGGCACAAAAACCACCAGGATGCAGAACCGCCTTCTAAAGGTTGTAAATCTGAGGCTGCCTTCCCACTTTGTCCAAACAAACGTAGCAAGGCTGTAGAGAGAGTAACCTAACCTTCCATTGTTTTGGTGGCTTGCACATTCCACAGCCTGACCCCATGATTAAATAGCACGCCAAGAAGGAAACCTAAATACTGGTTCGATCTGGGGCAAGATAACCTTTCAGATTGATTAAACTGAAAGCGAGCCAGGTGAAAGATATTAAAAGTTGGGTAGCACCTTGGGCAGCACTACGCACGCGCACACACACACCCCCTAATGTAACTCTAAGTCCCAAATGCAGTTCTGTATGCCACAGGAACAAATGCGCAGCTCTTCCACGGGCTAATGTGGGTGGCCCTAAAAAGGGCCTTTGGGATTGCCGCTCCTGGAGGCCTGCAGCAGCGGCCTAACCTCCAAAACCATACAGAGTGCGTCCCTGCCGCTTCAGGGCATACACCACGTCCATGGCAGTGACTGTCTTGCGCTTGGCGTGCTCCGTGTAGGTAACTGCGTCCCGGATCACATTTTCCAAGAACACCTTCAATACGCCCCGGGTCTCTTCGTAAATAAGGCCTGAGATGCGCTTGACCCCACCACGCCGAGCCAGACGGCGGATGGCAGGTTTAGTGATGCCTTGGATGTTATCCCTCAGGACCTTGCGGTGGCGCTTGGCACCACCTTTGCCTAAGCCTTTGCCGCCCTTGCCTCTCCCAGACATGGCTGCCGCGACCTGAAAGCACTGGACTGCTCCCCGTCTGGCCAGCTCTGCCCCGGATATACAGGAACATCGGACCGGATTGAAAACAGCGAGCGCGCGGGCGGGAAGCGGTCGAGATGGTCCCCGCCCCTCCAGTTTTCATCCC